AGAAAGATAAACATTGAGCGCGCGCGTTTTAATGCATAGCTTATCCCATAATTAGACATGTTGTACAGACAGATGTTCAAAGAAAAGGGAGGCATAGTGAAATAGATAGATAATATTACTTAATTATTTTAGTGCCAATAATGACATTGATGAATAATGAGCTGATAAAAATCTTTTATGCATTAGCTGCAGAGGAATCTGAAACAGACAGTGAGGAGTCAGATGTCAGTGGTTCTGAAGGAGATGACACATCATCTTGATTTCATGGTTCTGCAATCTGAGAGGAAATGAATTCTTCTGCGAGGTGATGATGATTACATCCAAGATGATTTCAACCTTTGTGGATTAAGCAGTCAAGTTCCTTACTATGATTATGCTCTAGATTTAATTTGGATGTTGAATCCTCCCATGGTAAGGCTATATTCGCATTTTAAGACTTCTTATGTCAGACTAATATATGTGATGGGAAATTTTTGTATTACATTTTACCATGACTAATGCAAAATTTATTTGCCTTTAACATTCTAAGATGATTTTAGATTATATACGCATGCATGTTACTCTTATAACCTTGCTGATCATGCTATTACTTGTTTTGAATAACTGCTAATGTTGGATGGTTTGAATCTTTAGGTGACATGTTCACAGAGGAACAAAATGAGTTGATTGAATCAGCAGCAGAAATGCTTTATGGTCTTATTCATGCCCGGTACATATGACTGGCCGAGGAATGGCTGCTATGGTGAGATTCTGATATCATTGATTGCTGCTTACTAGGTGCTATAAGAAATTGGCACTCATAAAAATGTTTTTTTTTTCCCAGCTGGACAAGTACAAAACTATGATTTTGGGAGGTGCCCGAGAGTTTACTGCTCTGGACAACCCTGTCTTCCAGTAGGTCAGTCGGACATTCCTAGATCAAGTACTGTGAAAATATACTGCCCTAGATGTGAAGATATTTACTATCCGCGGTCCAAGTATCAAGGCAGTATCCTTATATTTAGTGTTGAACATATTCTATTCCAGTTTTAGCGTCCACCTCTCAATCTATGCCTTTTAAAATCATTATTTTAGTTTCACTAAAAAAATCATCTTTAGTCTGTTAATTAACCTTGCCATTTGGATTTCAGCCTGAATCACAGATTCACAGCCCATGCTATTTGACAGTAGTTATCATAAAGATTGTCATTTATGGTTATGAATTAACAATAAATGCCTAATTGACATATACTAGTTACTTTGTTCTTGTAAGTTGCAATCTGGAAATAAATGCATGTGGATTTTGGAATACTTCCTCCTCATAGGTCATCTCTGATTCTTGAAGAGTTATTTTTGTCTGGATTCATGTGTTTGGTAATGTAAACAAAAGTTGGACGTGATTCACCCCCAAAAAAAAAAAAGGTGAGACACATGAAATGAGTATGTCTGAGCTGAGTAATGTTCAGACTTCAAACTAGGAATGATAGCTCATCAATGGTGATGGCTCACATTCTAGATCTCTTTGATGGATGTTTATCTATCCAGCAGGTTATCTCTGAACCCCACCATTTTATGATTTATTTTGCAACTTATACATTTCCATTTTGAGAAAACAGTTTACCTATAATATGCACTTCCAGCAGCTGCGTGTCTAGATCATGAAAATCAAGTAGCTTGATGAAAAAAGTCACAGAAAAGCGAAGGGCTTTTATGCATTCTTCTAAAAGTTCTAGGATATTAGATACATTAATTTAATGTTTATTTCTCTGATTCTGTTCGCCTTCTGAAGAGATAAGCGTTTTTTGGTTTTTTTCAATTTTCATTTGGTGAATTTATCATCAAACCCAAGCACACATATTTATCTTGCCATTCTACAGAACCTTGTTAACTACGATTACGTGCGCACATTGGCTTGAGGTTAAATGTAATGGCGAGGCATTTAATCCTGTGGTTTCCATATTTTTCCTTGATTCTATCTAGACATTGATGGGGCTTACTTTGGAACTACGTTTCCACACCTCTTTCTGATGACTTACGGTCAGCTAAAGCCACAAAAGCCCGTGCAGAGCTATGTGTCAAGAGTCTTCGGCTTCAAAATTCATAACCATAAAGCTGGAATTTCATGCTTTTCGTACAAGTAAAACTATACCCAATGTTTTGACTCGTCTTCTAGTAGTTTCACAGGAGGGGGGCTATGTATTGTAGTATTTCTTGCAATGTTCAGCGGATCATAAGCTCTTCAAGTGAGCACAATCTATCTAGATCTGTTTTATTTCTTAGGCCTGTGTTGTAAGAAATATGCATGCACATCGCTTGAGTGCTTCATTCACTTCCGTCCTTATATTTTTTAGTTCCATTGGTTTATTCCAAATTTGGTTTCTTTCAAATTGCCTGTTGTATGCTGTTGTTGATTTTGTGTTAACGGATCCCCTTCCATGCATTGGAATATTCAAGTTTGACCTCAGTAGATACAGTGACTGATTCTTATTTGTATAAATTTCAAGGCTGGCCATCTAAAAGGTTGGTTATTATTTGTTTGGAATTTCAACATATATGGCTTCTTAAGTACAATCTTGGAGTCGCTTAATCGGACTTCCCCCAGCAAATGATCTATAGTCCCTTGCCTTGCTTCTCACCTTTAATTGCCACCACCTAATCCTTGGTGTTACTACTTGTCGACGTTTTTGGATTTTACTCATAATACACACATCAAGGACTAGGACCCTATGTTGTGTCGTTACAGCATCTCCAGGGATCACCTTACAATTTTTACAAAGTTTTCTATCTGTGTTCCTAACCAAAAGAAAATCAATCTGCGACCTTGAGGCTCCACTTTTGTAGGTGATGAGATGCTCATCTCTCTTCTTGAAACAAGTGTTGGCAATCTTAAAATCATACGCCAATGAGAAATCAAGAAGAGTTTGCCCTTCATTGTTTAGCTCTCCAAAACCAAAACCACCATGCACCCTCGCATACTGACCAGCTTCCCTCCCGACATGCCCATTAAAGTCTCCTCCAATAAAAATCTTTTCACTCTGTGGTAGTGTCGAATCAACCCCTCCAGATCCTCCCAAAATAATTCCTTAAGACTGGCTTCTGTCCCGACTTGCGGCGCATAAGCGCTAACAATATTAACAGTCTCACGTCCAATTATCATTTTTAAAGAAATAATTCTGTCTCCAATTCTGCTAACTTCTACAACGTTCTTCTTCCACTCCTTATCTATAATGATGCCTACTCCATTGCGTGCACTTACTTTTCCTGTATACCAAAGTTTGAAACCTTGAATATCCTTAGCTTCTTCTCCACGCCATTTTGTTTCTTGCAAGCAAAGGATATTGATTTTCCTTTGAATCATAACCCCTACAACCTCTACAGATTTACAATTTAATGTCCCAACATTCCAAGTACCAAATCTAATTTTGCTCTTATGGACTAACTTCTTTAGCCGCGTGCGTCCAGAATGACGCGGTAGCCCTTGCTCATTTAACACTACATCCGGGCGCCGATGCAGCGGCTCTAACTCACTTATCACTGTACTCGAGCCATGCAGCGCGTTACTTACGGGCAACGACCTAGCATTAACATTATAACGTCTATTGTCCATGTTCATGATAGATTCAACAAATTTTTACATTGGCTGTTGATGGCCTAACACAACCCTCCTCCTTTACCCGGGCTTGGGACCGGCTATAAACATAGGCGGAGTTCATGTTCATCCCCTCATTTCTTGTAATTAGATTTTATGCAATCTCAATCTGCTAATATTAAAGATGCATAAAGCTAGTGAAGTTTGCCAGCGATAATTAATATTGGAACAATAATAATGTGTTATGACTTCGATAGAAATAGATTGAAGGGTCTGGGTAAAACAAAAAAAAAAAAAATTATACCTGTCTGTCAAGATATCAATGAGAGGTTTTTAGACACCAAGTCAGATTCTAATCCAACTTCAGAAGCGCTACTTGCTGCTGCTGCTGCTGCTGCTTTTTTTCGAATGGAAAATAGTATCATAATACATGTAAAAATATGTGCATGCGGAACAAAGTTAACTCCTTTCGGCAACCACTCCATCCTAAATCAAAGGGAGTGGCCGATCAAAGGACCCAAAATCATCACACCTTAATGTTATTCCTCAATAATCATGCAATAAGAAGGACCCACTTGCTGCTTACTAGGCACAAAACTGAACTCTGGTAAACAACTTGAAAATTTTGCATTGCATTCAAACCATGCAGTACTCACTTGGCACTTTCTCAAGTATAATAATTGACATGAACCGGTTTTGTTCCTTCAATCTCCGAAAGGTGCTCTGTGCAGTTACAGCATTCATAGTACTGTTAGAATGATGGACAATGTTGTCTGCTGGTTGATCAAAAATATGTGCAATAGAAACAAAATTGGCCAGAAAAAACTAGCCCACGGATATTTTTCACCAATAAAAATATGAGGAAAAAGAGTAAAGGGTGGTGCTTCAAAATGTAGAGCGGGCTTCTCTTATTGTCTACTGTCCTCTCCTGAAACTCTGCAAGGGATCTACGTAAAACTAGAGAGGACCATCAGAAGAGAAGCCAAGCCCCAAAATGTTGACACCAGATGCTTTTGCCATTTCATAAATGCAGGTTCCAATTCTTCATAAATTCAAGACTGTTAAGATTGTCCAACTACAAAAATGTCTTTGAAATTCTATATTTATTTAGAGAATCAACAAGTTAGGAAAAAAAAAAAATACCCAAGCCATGCGATTATCAGGTAAAGACATCATTCATTTCAGAATAAAAGATGGATATAGCTTGTCAATTAAAAGCAGACATTGCCTAATCAACAAAAAAAAACAAGGGTAAGGCCTCACACTGCACATCAGAATGTGGCAGTTCTACTCTTCACTTTCAAGCAAAATTGTAACTCCCCTCTTGGTGATCTTTGTGTCAAATTTACGTCCCATCTTTTCCAAACAATTTTCTTCTGTCCAATCCGATAAGCTCGAGACAACAGCCTGCCCTTCTGCTGAAGGATTCCATAACGTGTCCAGCAAAAACCCTTGAAGCGCAACCAGATTGATCCCTTCATAACAAGTCTTCGTTGATGCTAGCATTACAATCGCTTTGCTATGGATCATTGAATGCATCTATTGAAGCTTGACGCGTCCCTTCATGGGTTTTTCCATGAATTACTATCATCTGCTCTCCTTCATTCCAATTAAAGCGAGATTTAATCTGGTTTGCTAGAAAGGCCAACGGATCAATATACGACTAAAAATCAAAATTTTTCCTTTATAAGCACGCTTTGCCGGATGAAGTCCATTACAAACTTGGTTTTGACTCCAATCTCTGGGGCGATTCTAGTCTTTCTAATAGAGCTTTTGTTGTAAGTCAGTGAGTTCAGTAGCAGCTAAAAGTGAAGGATGCACGGAAGCACAGACATCCAATGTTCAAATTTAAACCAGTTAGATGGTCCATCATTAACCTGACCTCGGGTCCTCCTTAACTTCTGAAGGTGTTCAAAAATTACCCTCTGCTCCTGAGATGGGATTAAACTAACTATCGATTCCCTCAACCCAGGAAGACTCTCTTGCAGTACGGTGCCCTTGTGCACGTGCACGAATTGCTTAATCACATTTCTGATTTTAGCAATTATCTCAGCCTTTTCACCGTCACTCTCCACTTTGTCATATGATTTGAGAAGAAATTCCAAATTCCCTTTGGTTTCATTCGCTCTGAAACCCCGCTTCTCATCTACTACCTTGACATCTCCTGGAGGATTCAATCCTGCAAACTTTGGCATCGCCAAGCGGAGTGTGTTATAAAGCTCCTTGAAATTATTCTGAAAGGGGTACCGGAGAGTATGATGCGCCTCTTTGTCTTGACTTTTGACAACGCCTCCCAGACAAGGCTCCTGGAATTGCGAGGGGTGTGACCTTCATCAAGAACTAATAAACCTGGAAGTTCAAAAAGGGCTTTCTTCATGTTATCAGAGCCCTTTCTAGCAAGCCAAACGAACAACGTGTAGCTAATTCCTAAGATGCTTGTAGCCTCTCTCCAGGAACACAACTTGGCCAATCGGATTGCACTTTTAGTGTGTGCACGACGACCACCGTGCTTCCAAAGACGGCTCATGGCAGATTCACTCTCCTCTCCAGAGAGATCAGGCTTGTTCAAATTGTGAAAAGGAACGGGAACACCTCCTTTCCACTTCTGCAACTCCTTCTCCCATGTATGAAGAATGTTGGTTGGAGATATGATCATGGGTCTGCAATTTGGATATTTCGTCATGAAAGCTTGCAGAAAGGCAATGGTAAGAAAAGTTTTCCCTGTGCCAGGAGCATGTGATATGATGCAACCACTCCCACCAGCAAAATCTAACTGCTCTTCCAACTTGTGAAGAACAATTCCACCAGCTAGGTTCGTCCAAAGAAATTCAAAAGCTTCCTGTTGATGATCATACATGATCCTCTTCTTCACTCTTGGAATTATATCCCACACAGTTCCCGTGGAAGTATAAGTTTCAAACCCGGAATATTTGTCGTCACAGCCAAGATTTTCTTGCTCAAGGTCACTAGAGGAAGCGTCATCATCTTTCTCCAAAGGGTTAGAGTATCTCCCACCTGATTTTCCCCATCGGTTTGTGCACTGCGTATGGAAAAAAATCATTTTTAACCAAAAAATATATATATATATATATATATATATTCAAGAAGTGAATATACATAAATGAAAGGCTGAATAAACCACCATTTCTCAGTAGTCACTTGCACATGCAAAAACAATCGATTGACTCGACCATCACTAAGACTTGCACTAGGTATACTGGTACAGCTTGCAACTAGTAGCTTTTGTAGTGATTAAGAGACACATGCCACTCGGCTCGTTAATTTCTAATTTAATCATGAAGCAAACGTTAAATAAATTACCCTTATGCTTTAAGTACGCTCAAATAGACATGAAATAAATGATTCCAAAACACTAAATAAATCCTTTCCAAAGATTAATATCAGTCTGAGAAGTAATAGTTGACAAAGCAACACAGCATCTTGGGTGAAAGTTTATTTCATGTCTATAAGGCATTTAAACCATTAGAACCATTTATTTGACGTTTTAAAACCGTATGATCAAATTACTGCCACAATTAAACTTTGATCGCCAAAAGTTCCGTTTTCCCCTTTTCAAAAAAAAAAATTTACAATTTCACCAAACATGTTTGTCAGCAAGATTTGGATTTCTTTTCACAATTATGGACATCGAAAAGTCACAAGTCCAATTTCAACACACCAGTGCACATGGAAGAGGGGAAAGCAACAAGGCGAACTATGGACACGTCAATCGACTTACAAACGGAGGGTCACAATCCTTGATGTCCCGAACTACATGTAGGCAATATCTACACACTTCCCCAATTTCATCATCCATCCTGAGATAATGATTCCCCCGTTGACAACGAGTAGTTGCACTAACTTCCCCTTCCAGACATGGGACCTCATAATATTCGTTTTCAACCTGTTGACAGACACATACAACAACGAACAAAGTGATTTTTAATGTGTCCAAGATGCACGGGGAAAGGTTTCACGATATGTACCGTGTCAAGAATATATCTTCCAAACACAATCTTGTCCAGTAGCACAAGAACCAAATAATTAGGGATTGTGGGTAAGTATGATATTCAAAGAAGAAATTACACCTTCATGCCTAACTCTACAATTCATGAGATACAATTACTATTTCAATGTACAAAACATATTTCCCTCTATGCAATTCTTAACAGCATTAGAACCTTGATATAATTTTAGCATCCATGCTCTTATGGTTAACGTCCAGAAGCTCACCAAACTCCAAGATAAAAAGAATGGCACGTGAAAATTATTTCAACCAAAACAAACAGGCTGCACTTCTTGTATCTCACAATACAAAAATCTTAAAGCCCGGCTACAACTAAATACCTAAGAATACAACACAACAAGATTTCATCGTTGAATATCTATGATCAAACCTACCTGAACAGAAATATCTTCTCCATAAGGATGCAGACCCTCGTCCATCTCAGCCCAGAGTTCATGAAATTCTTCCTGGACCTTTAATTTCACAGGAGGCCCTGACGCCTTAGTCCCAAAAGGATTCTTTGATGATAGACATTTCATGGTAGAATCTGGAATTCCGTGCTCAGCTTCACTATCACGGATGTTCATTTCAGCGCATAGTTCATCAAATTCTTCCTCGAGCTCAAATTTCTCAAGTGGCTGTGACGCCTTAGTCCCAAAAGTACACTTCGATGATAGACACGTCATGGTTACTTCTGGAATTCCGTCCTCGTCTTCACAACTACGAAGAACTTTGTCCATCTCAGCCCATAGTTCATCAAAATCTTCCTCAGACTCTAATTTCTCTTGTGGCTGTGACGCCTTAGTCCCTAAAGAACACTTCGATGATGTCACGGTAAATTCTGCAATTCCTTCCTCGTCTTCACTATCATGGAGATCCTTTTCCATCTCAGCAAATAGTTCATCAAATTCTTCCTCAGGTCCTAATTTCTCCCGTGACTTTGACACCTTGAGTCGCTTCGTCATAGCTTTCGGATTTCGTTCGTCATCACTTGAGGAAGTTAAGTTCTCAAGAGACACCAACCCCTCACCACGGAGAGACTCCTGACACAAAAAGCTGCGATTTCTTGTCTCATTCTCCTCTTCGTCGTCGTCCAGGCTAAGGGGATTGCTGATTGTCCCTGATTTGGCGTTTCTAAATTTTGAAGGAGCAAAATGAGACCGAGTTCTCCTGGCAATACACATGCTGCTAGAAGATGTCACGTCCTCCTCCTCATCGCCATCATTAGATACAGTATAGCTTGAGCACCGTTCTTCTTGAGATGGAATTTTCTCAACCGCTTGCCGTTTCCTACGCTTATTATCCTTCTCAAAGTATGGCTTTCCAGTGCTTGCTTGTCTAGACCGAGTTCTTCCTGATACAGCCATGCCGCTATACATAGCTGTAACGCAAAGGTCTCACCGTTATCCCTGTATCATCTAAGAATGACTTGAAATAAAAATCCCAGAAATTTTTCCCATGACAGAATCATGCATACTATGGCGCATACCTTTCAATTACATATACAGCTCCAAATGCCAGCGCACTCGTCAATCAACTAGTGAAACAGGGACTAAACGGCCACTGCCAGAATGGATTGACCCTCACCTCCAGGAAAGAGCTAAATACAGTAAGAGGAGCAACTATGAGAGCCCTAGAAAAAACGACCAGATGTGATAAAGATCATGGACAAAGGAGAGCTGAAGTAGTAAAAGAAGACGCGAAGCGTGCATGAGACGGCGTGACAGATTGACGCTTAAAAACCAATATTTATTTGTTTAACAACTTCATAGTGGCAAGTGATCAAGGAAAAGGGTGAGAACGAAGTCAATTTTCGGGATCACGCAAGAGGCTAACACGGAGTTGGAAAAAAAGATCAACGTTCGCCACATAAAGATTGGATTTTATTATGAGACGACGGTCATTATAGGAGTAATATTTTCTGTTCCTAAAAATTCGGTTATAATGAAATTATCAGATACTAGATTATTATTTGGCCAAAAAAAAAAGATACTAGATTATTAGATAGATGTACTTTAATTTTAATTAATTTAAATGTAATGTAAATATAGATTTACAATAATAATTATTCGGGAAAAAGATTTAAAACATTCCGAAATTCGAATATTGACTTACTTTTATAAATATCAACAATTTTAAATTTTCCAGTTATTTTACTCCACACATTATCAATTATCAATTACTACTATTAACACTCTACTACTACGACTGTTTACTATTATTATTATGATTATAAAAAACAACAAAGGCAGGGGAAACGAAAAGAGGAAATAATAATAAGTGCGAGTCTGAACAACTCTGAGCACTGACCACCAAAGGGGCGGCCATTGCTTTTTGGTTTGCTTCCTCGTAAATATGTAATTAATGATATTATTAATTATTAATTAATGTTGATGTTAAACATTCAAAATGCCCGTCCTTTTTCTTAAAATAATAAATAAAAAGTTTGTAAGAATATTAATGTTAAATTAAATTTTTTTAACATTGAATTTCTCAAATTTCAGAATTATTTTTATCATATTTTAATATTAAAATTTTTAATTTGGTATTAATACTCTTACATCCTTACTTATTATGATCCCTTCTTCTTTTGTTTTTGCCCAGAAAAAAGTCCCGTCCCATATTTATATAAGTACTATAAGAATATAAGAATAAGAACGCCAGATTAATTCACCAAAACAACGAACGCCAGATTAAGGTGGAATAATCAGTTCCCAATTTACTAATAATGTTAAGAATACAAACGAACTTCAACTCAAGGCCAAAAAAAAAAAAATCAGGTTAAACTGCAGAAGATAAAAATGGGTTTACGACTTTACGTTTTTCCCGGTACAAGACAGAGGACAAGAAATAAGAAAGCAAGCAAGCTATCTTGTCTGAGGGATGCATGCAAAATCGAAACCTTGACTTGCAAGTGAAGCCAATGTGCCCTCAACCTTTCACCAGCAAGCCACGAGTTCGATACACGTGCTATATAGCGTTCAAAATCCAAACAAAACTAAGCTTCTTTAAGAACAACGCAGCATGATCAATAACACAGAAAAAATGGCGGGCAAATGCCGTCGTAACTCACCTCAACGTCGCCGGACAAATAGCGTCTGCACCGATCGCCGTCGACCGGGTTGAAAACGGAGGATGTGAATGCTGAATCCCTCAATGGGACAGAAGCAGAGGCAGAGTGGGAACGATCTGAAGCCTAAGAAGCAGGGTGCTGGAAGGAGAGTGGAGAAGAGCGTGACTGAAAATTTTTTATTTTAGAAGAAGCAAGCTCAGCGTTTAGCGTCTGAATCCCGGGCCCGAGATACGTGTGTCGTTTGGATCCGTTGATGAGCTAAACGGCTGAGATTTACGTCCGTGCGTCTTCTGCAGCTTTTCTACAGAGACTGACTCAACGTAGCAAAATATGGCAATAGTTGATCCGATCAGATTGGCTGTGGGTGATTTGATTTGCCTTGATAGGCAAGTGGAGCCCATATATTCGTTCCTTCCAGACACACTCTTCAAGATGGAAAACCCTTTGCATTTTAGGATGGGAAGCTTAAAAGCTGCAAAAATATATCATGAAAACAGGATTGCGTGAGAGTGGAGAATAGGGTGTACCAGCATTGTGTACCAAAATAGGTAGAATTAGATTACATCTCATGCCCTATGCATGGAGTCCAAATTCCATCTGCTTTCTTATCTCCTCTTCCCCGTTACCCCTTCTTCCATCTGACGCTTCTCCATTCCGGCAGGCCAACCGACGCCGAGCACCAACTCGATGGCGACGAGCACCACCGTTGATTAGCAGAGACACCGCGGACGGCTCTGTGTATTCCTGAAATTTAGTGAACAAAGACGCAACTTGGAATCGCCAGCTCGATAAGCGACTTCCACGGCGTGAGACACTCGAGAGAGAAAACCAGCCTATGTTTTCTTATGAGTTCCTGAGACAACTGTGTACGTAATCAAAGAAGTCACAAGGCTGAGAATGGTCCAAACCCCACTTAAAGCAAGGCCCTTTGATTCCCAAACCAAGGTAAGAACCGAGGAAAAAATTGATGGGTATGTGAAGAAAAATGCCGAGAGCGGAACAGAGGGTGAGAGACAGGGTAATTGATTGAAAATTTGAAATTGATCCAAACCCTATTTAAAAGCAACGCCTTTGATTCACCTTCGTTTGTGACCCATGATATTCACGAGCTAGAAACAGCCAAAATGCGGAATGCGAGGAGAAATAATCACTTGCAGAACAAAAGAAGAATGAAGAGAAATAACCGCCTTCGATTTCTTTTTGCTTGATTTCTGGGCTTTTTCCGGGGATGATGGCAGTGACATGAGGTGGTAGACGGCGGTTGAAATCTGGTGAACGATGGTTGAAATCTGGTTCTTTTTCTTGAAGGGACACTTGGTCTTTTCCGATCATAAATTTTTCTAGTATTTCAAATAAAAATAATGTAAAGTTTTATGAAGATACCAAAAGTAAATTTAAAATTTAAAACTATGTGTCTACATCCATTTTTATTTTCTTTTAAGATCAATTCTGGATATCAAAATCTGGGGGACGATGGTTGAAATCTGGTTCTTTTTTTGGAAGGACGGCTGACGCGTTTTGGTCTATTCTGATTTTAAATTTTATTAGTATTTTAAATAAAAATAATGTAACATTTTTAGGAAGATGCCAAAAGTAAATTTAAAACTATATTCTTTTTATATGTTCTATCACCACAATAAAAAATAACTTATAAAAGTTTTATTTAGTCTAAATTATGAGGCATTAGTTAGCTTTTATAATTATTTTTTTAATTATGCTCTTATTTCATTTATTATTTTTTTAAGAAAATGATGTATTGAAATTTTAATTATCGTGGTCAAAGTAATTATATAAGGTATTTAATAAGGGTAAAATTAAAAAGATATAAATTTTTAAAAGAAATTAAAATTTCAACTAGAGTAAATTGGTTTAATAGTCATGAAAAATGCAATTCTCGTAAATTATGGATAAGATTTTTAAATATTTTAAAATATGGTTCATTCACAAAATCAATTGAGGATAATTCTTTTTTGTTCACAAAACAAATATATTATTAAAACGCTTTGTATAAATTGGTTCACAAATATATCTCCCATAACTAATTAGATAATTTTAACCTTAACTAATTAAAACGAATCCATACACATTCATCCATCATATTTATTTCCCCTTCACAATAATTTTTTCCCTTTTTTGGTGGGTGGAGGAATCAATGTGATATTCATAAATTATTTTTTTATTGTCCTAACAAGTGTACTCTTTCATAAGAGACGTCCTAACATGCATAGCTCAATTTTGTGCCTCTATAAATGAGTCTCATTGTCAGGCTTTCTTGCATGGAAATGAATGTAAATATAGAATTTTCATTGCATAGAGGTATTTGATTTTTTATAATAAGGTAAAATGTTCAAAAATTTTAAAGACTATGTTTAATCTATTTTGGACAAATGATTATATTTTTTTTATGTTTCTAATCCACAATAGTATATCAATGATATACAATGATGAACCATAACAATGAAAGCTTATCCACACCATTTAATTTTATATATATGAGGATGTTTAATCTTATTATTTCTTTTTTTTTCCAAAAAGATGGTCAAGTGAAGCTGTCTTTCATTTTTGAATATTTGAAATAAGGTTTTCATCAAAAAAAAATTTGAAAGAAAGTTATATTATTTACAAAGAAATAGTTTTGTCATATAAAACTCAACTAAATATTAAAATGATCATGATGCAAAATGTAAGAAATGTTAGACTATTTATTGTTTTTTATTTTATAAATTCGGCAATATATGTAATAGCCCTTTTCAACTAACATTTTTTAAAATTGTAAATTAGCTACTAATGCATTATATTTTGGTATGGAGGGAATACACTAAAAAGGAGAATTTCAACTAAAAATCAAGGATGTGACTATTAGTGGGTTTAAAAAAAATTTTAAAATTTTAGTTCAGTCTATGAGGATTGAAGTGGAAATAACTTAAATGGTAAAAAGACTAAAGTACTATTTATTTGTAAATTTTGTTTGAGATGTAAAATAATTAGTTATTAATTTTCTTATTTTATTTGATAATTTATCACAATATGACTTGTAAATTGTATCAATTTGTCAAGCAAATAACAACATCAGTTGTTAATTTGTTAATTTTACTTATTAATTTATTAACATCAATTATAAATTACAAGACCTATAAATAATTTATAATTAATGTTAGTAAATTAATAAGTAAAACCAACAAAGTAACAACTAATATTGCTGCTAAACAACTGGTGTTCAGATCTTATATGATTATTGACAAGTCAAATCATGTAATTTACAACTCATATTAATAAATTAAGGAGCTTTTGCACAAATAATCCATATTATAAGCTCAAGTAAAAGAAATAATCTATCCTTTCTTAAAATTTAAAAATAATTTTTTTAATATTTAGATTATAATTAATTTATAAAATTATCCTTTTTAATATCTATTTTTTTCAAATACCAAGAGATTCAAAATGCAAGAAATATCTTGAATGAGAAAGATAAATGTGAGAGAAAAAATAGAACTCAACGTGAGAGAGACGAAAGCAAGATAGCAAAGTAGTATGAGTGAGCCCCATTCACGACGATGGGAGACAAATACGAGGTGAGATATAACAACAATACTAAATGGAACGGAGCATGCCGGCAAGAAAATGGAGCTACAGATTTACGA